TAACTTTAATAAATAAATTAATATTATGTAATAATATAAATATTCACCTGTAACATTAAAAGGTAGAAAAATAAATAATTATTACATAACAAATGTATCTATGCCTTACATGTATTTGGAACTTTAAGACATTTGCCACTGAGTCCTGTAACATTTGGAGTTATGGTTGGTGCATTACTCATTTTTCTTCTTAATTTTTTAGTATTTAAAAACTGTATTAGTGCTGAGTTTTGTTTCTGAAATAATTAATTTCTTTCAAAACATTAACATTAATTATTAAAACAAACGTGCTCAAAATATTTCTTCACTAATTGGTTAAATTTTCAATTATTATGTATACCTCTTGTAAAAGATTGTTTGAAATTGAACGTAACATTTTGTCGTGATAATATCAGTAATTCACGTATATTTTTAATGAAATAAAAATTCGTTATATTTATTTGACAATGACTCTTTCCAATTGAAATTAAAACATGCCTAAGGTCAACACTACTAACAATAGCTGCATGCTTAAGTTTATACACAGACGATGTACAGAATAGATTTATCAACCCAATGCATTGTTTTGCCTACGTCGTGGGGCTCTAGAGCTCCTTTACCATTTTCGTGTCGCTACCAACGTTACCAATTCGGCATAAAATAAGATTATAACATTAGTAGTAGCTGAAATTGGAATTAAACGTAACTATGAAATTACAAATAAAAAAGTAACAAAATTGTTTGTTAATTGATGATTCATTACATGCGTGTGTTCTACTGCTGTTAAAAGATCGTGAACAGTTCTACCCAAGCAATCCAATATATGTGTGCTTCTTTAAATGCAAATTTAGTAAAAGAGGATTTTTTATATCTGTTGACTTTATCATCTTTGATGGTTGGATTGTATGTAATTCCTAGTCTTATCGCTTTATATTATAGGGAGCATAACAAAAACTCTGATCTTTTGCACGATCGGTATTTCAAAACGTTGGACACAAAAATACATTAGGTGCAAGGTCTATCCCATACCTCGTCTGTGGTAAAAGTTAATTACCGATATTGTTTTACAGGATCTTACAGTCTATTCATTTCTCCCTACGGACCACACCAATTTCCTTTTGTGAAACACTCATTCTTTAAATAATATTCCATTACAAAATTAAATCATCTAAGTTCGGACAAAAAGTAATTTTTATTATGCGAAAACTATTTTGCAGTTGTCTAGATAAAATATTTATAAAAATCTCAAAAAATATTATTACATTCTTTAAAATTTATATAAGAATACAAAAATGTTTTGTTTACGATTCATTTGGAAATTAACATTAGAATGACTCATAAAAGATTATCTTATGAATCAATTTAGGTAAGAGGCTGAAATTGCAGATAAATTGGTGTGCAGATATACAACCGCATAAAAACGTACGATTCCAAGCAGAAAATTTCTACAAACGACGCTGATAAGAGTTTATATTGACAGACATGGCAGTGGTAGAAATGTGGCAACCGCTTGACAATTGTGAAACCGTCCTAAGATGCGTTTTGGCTACTACGCTTTCGACGGTGGGAAATTTTAAACAGGGTGTGTTCAACTTGCTTATCTCTTATCATTCCGTGTGACAAAGAAGGTGATCATATTATACTAACAGCAAGCAGAATAGGACAGAAATAAGCAACATTCGGGACTCGCATAACAAATGCTTATATTTTTTATTAGATCTTCATGAATCACCAATGTTTCGCGGACTATATTACAATAAACAATAAATTTTACAATACTATTATGAAAAGTGTATAATTTAAAACAATTTTAATAAATCGCATTTAGACTCATTTTCATCAATAAAATTTTATACCATCTTGTGTTAAAAACCGTTCTACGTTTTATTTGTTCTATGTTCTATGTTTTCCCGGAAGATATAAAAATCCCTAGTCAACAGCGCTACAATTTATTACTACTAGTTATCTAAGGATAATATTACTAGTACTTACAGTTATTGATTCATATTGTAAACTTATTTTTGAAGGAAATAATACAAAATTCTTTTAATTTATAATATTACTTTTTAGATATATTTAGAAATTTTATAAAACTGTAGCTAATATAAAAAAAAAGCAAGTATTTTTTTATATTAATAATTGTTATTGCGTTATCGAAATAAATACAAAATAAAGTTATCAAAATAATACTTCAAAATGTTTTTAAAGAACTACATGCATAAAACACTTATTTAAAAAGATTATTTATATTTTTACAATGAAAGTAAATTTTTTATTAAAGTAATTCATAGAATTCATAAAGCTTTTAGGAGCTATTCTTTCACATCAATAAAATATTCTTATTACATAATTTATTTCTGAAATAAATTTAATGACTTTTATTTACTTAAATTGTCATATGGATTTACATAACTTACATGAAAACAAATGTAATGTAATAGACATCTACTATCAAAATTAAATTGTAAAGTGTTGTAAAGTTCTATGAAATAACAATATGATTTTCTTTAACATGTTTCAGAAATCGTCTTTGTAATTCTTTTATTAAATTAACTATATGAATATTACAAAGTAATTTTGTTTTAGAATTAAAGCTCTGAGCTGGAAGACAAACAACTTTTTTAAAGCACCAGATGGAGAGAAACCATTTCAAAAAATATATACTTCTTTCAAAGTAACAAGTGGAGTTGGTATTTTACTTGGACTTACAAGGAGTTGCCTCACAGATGCTAATATGTACAATCATATCACTGTAGGAAGGGTCATCCATACTACGTTTCCAATTGTGGGTTTTGGTTTTCTCTTTGCTAGTGGTACATTTATTGCAGGAAATCTCAGAAAAAAAGATGATGATTGGAATCATATCATAGGTGGTAAGTAAATTTTTTACTTCTATTTTTACTTGTCAAAATGTTTAATTTCATTAACAAGTGAAATTATTTGTTATTTACAAATTTTTATTCAAATGGGATAAGCACAGAAAGATTGTCTTCCACCAGTTGACTTACTTTGACATGTTATTATTAGCTTAAAAATTGAAATAGAGATGTTGTTCCAAATACAACATATTCAAAATAAAGGATAAGTTATAGATTAGAGTAATTATTGTTTTTTTATTGTCAGTTTTGTCAACAAATGCCTTTGAAGTACTGGTATGATGCTAATCCCATATGGGTTAACTTCAGTTGAAAACAATGTACAAAGTCACATTTTATATATTATACTTTTTATTGTTGTAGCACTTACGACTGCTCCATTGGTTCGAAAATTTTTTTCGTTTCATACTACAGTGGTCATAGTAACATACATGTGTATCCTGGCAGCTGTTTGCAAATCTTCAATAATGCACCTTAAAACGGAAGGGTTCGATATAAATAAGGAATTGAAAATTACTTACTCAGCAAATACTTTCGATTGGTACTATTGGTCAAAAACTAAACCACCAAATACTACTTATCTTGATAGAAAGTTATTTTGGTAATATAAATCATATATGGCATAGAAATTATGATTAAAACACGACATGTGTTATTATTATCTTCATTGTGGATTTATTCACATATAATTGTATTAAATACAGAAATCTTAAAGCATTAAAAAGTTACACTAATGATTAATTTATGTTAGTGTCTCCCCCTTTGTCACCTGCAAAAATAATAATTGTACAATATATATTACTGTTGCATTTTTGTGTGAAGTATTTTATAATATAGAAAAAGAATTTATCAATTGATTTCTACGTGATTTTGAATACACATGGACACTCAAAATTCAATAATTAGATAGAAATGTTAATAAACGTTTCTAATTTTGATCAATTTGAAATTCTCTAGTTATAAATAAATTTTGATTTTTGAAGCTGTCAATGCTTCAGATACAACAGAAGTTTCTTCCCATATGGTAAATATTTATGTAGCATACACAATTCTTTTTCTTTCATTTTAAAGAATTGTTAATACAAAACTAATTTTATTATTCATAAAGTTTAATTTATTTACTTGGAAATCAATGAGTCGTTAAATTTCAATTTAAGTAAGTCACATTCTATAAAAACAGGTTTCTTCCAAGAAAACCTGCTAATTAAATCAATAATTGATATTAGAAAAAGTATTTGAAAAACCCAAGGTTTCTAAAATAAAATAGGGAGAAAATTATATTTGAATGAATAATACTTTGAGAAATAAAAATTCATACCATGTTAAAATTGATCAGAATTAATAGTCTATATCTAAAATTTTCTTGACTATTGTATTTCCAATTGATGTGTCCAAAGTTTCAAGAGACAAATAATAGGAAAATAGCATAAAAATATTTTATAATTTATTCAAACGTAAACCATTAAATATCTCAAAACGAAAAATATACGACTTAGACCACTTTCATAATCACTGGTACATATAAGCATATGTTCATTATCATTTCTGTTTTGACAAATAGTAATATTAGAGTTATGAGCCAAGAAGCAGCATGGTATTTTAGAACACAACACATTTGAGTATTAGTTTTTAATATACTCTCAAGTAATTACAATAAATGATAAACTTAATGTTTGAATTGAAAATGTTTGCTAAAGATTAAATGAGAAGTAGGCCACACAAGAAAATGTAAGTTACACATGTAGCAAAATGATCTTTAATTGGAGAGTTTGTTAAACAGATAATTTATGATGTAATAAAATTTCCTCCTTATATGCAAAAACATTGCTTTTACTTTGAAAACTTATAACCGTTTATTTTGTTCTGATTTTAGTTTTGATAATTATAAGTAATTCCACATTTATTAATTTCAGGAACAAAGTGATAATGAACATATTTATATGAACTGTTTCCCTATTTTAGTCTATGCCAAGTTATTCTAACGATATTTACGAGTATCGTGTGACAATAGTATAGACCAGAGCCGCTCAGCAAGTTGCCCATGGGGCAGTGATCAGGCTAGCTCGAGTACACAGCGATACTCGGGTAGTAAGCCATGCCTTCTGGAGCAATGATCTTGTGGTAGGGCACTGTATGAATGTAGTAGTAATCACCCGGCCTAAGATTGAGAATTATGCTTTGAAGATACAGCCTACACTCCCACCATAACCGTTGTTCCCTACTTAGCTTTAATGACTGTCGATGTCACTTGCCCCTAGTTTTGCCCACAGCACTTTCCGAGAGCAACGCCAGGTGCCCATGCCCGGAACAGGCCTGCTTGAGCGGCTCTGATATAGACGAAGGCAAGTTGTCATCGCAATCATTAACGCTCTATTTCTTAATGCTTTTTGATAAAGAGTAAATAAATCATTTTAAAAGTCAAATATTTTTATTTTAATATATTTTTGTATATTTTCAAAAAATTAATGGTAACTTACACATGCCTCAAGATATTCAATTCTTCTTTCAAGTGTTGTGAGTTTTTCATTAAGGACAGCTATTCTTGATCTGCAAGACATATCTAACAAAACAAAACATATTGATCATCTTTATTGATGTATTTAAAAGCATTTTCATTACTTTTTTTAGCATAGAACAACAGTTGAAGAAAGAGCAAAGTTTGCAAAGATACACATAAGGATTAAAAAATTGTGTATGTTACATTTGTACTTTTCCAGACTGCAATGTCACCTTTGTTCTTTAAATAGAACTATATATTTTCAATTACATTGCATTTTTCACCATGTTCTTTGGAAATATATTATTATTCTGATGTGATACCATGTAACTACACAGTTGTTCAATGCAAAATATTCATATTAATGGTTCACTAATATTTAATAAATGTGAATTTATATGGATATTAAAATAATACAATGAAAATAAGGAGTCTAAAAATTGATTAAACGCAATATTTTAGTTTCAAGATTAAAGGTCATAATGTTTTACATTGCTGAATTAGATTCAATACCAGCAACAATGTTGTTTCTTTTTTGAACAAACAACCACAATATATGAGAAAACATGATGTTCATATAAATAATTTATCAATTAAAATATATACTCCTGAAACTCCATAACTTCTCTTTTAACAAAAAAATTAGTTGTTCAATAATAAGTAGAAAGAATTTTAAGTGGTGATTTTAGATGACAAAATAAAACAAAGCTCAAGAGTAACAAAATTTTGATTAAGGCTACATTGGTCATGTAAAATAAGTCAATAGATGAAGTTATAACTATCAAAAATAAAGACACAAAACTATTCAGTTTATCTCATAGGAACTGTGACAAAATCTTCATTATTATTTTTGAAAATGAGTATACAACAATGGTGTATAACAATGACCAATTTATAACGAATTATCATACCTCAGAGATTTTTAATAGAACTTATAGAACATTTTAATAAAAATCATTGAACTTTTTAAATGAATAAATTGATTAAATAAATAAATAAAACCTTAATTGCAAATTTCTTACTCTTGATTTTTGCTTTATTTTGTCATGTACTATTACCTTTAAAATTTTTCTTATCTGCTGAGCATTCTATATTTTGAATAGTCACTAAATTGAACATACTGAAATATTCAAATTCCTCATAACAAAAGAAATTGAAAAGTTCTTTACTGTTACTTAATTTGGAGTTTCATCTATAAGAAATACAGAAAACACATAAACAATAAATTTTTATGGCTTCATTTCTTATGTACGGTGTTTAAATCTCAAGTGAGTAAGCATAAAACCTTATTTTCATGTTGGTATTTAAGTTGACACTGTTATGCTTTAGAAATTTCCAATTTTTGTTACAAATGATCTTTTGATTCAATTTTATTTTGTTTTGATTCATATTTGTTTTTGATATATATGCAAATACTTTGTCATTTTTATAACTTTTTAATAATTGTGTATTAAAACACATGAATGTTATTTATATTGCACTGTTACTCTCAACTATGAAGCTTTGTATTCATTTCCCTGACAGTTTTCACTTCCTACATAACTATGTGTTCAATTTTGTAAGTAACTGCACTTCATAATGTTACATTTTAGTAGATATGTACATAAAATAAAATGTTTTGCTTAACTTAAATATTGTGCATTCTCAAAAGCTGTAATTAATTGTTACTTTACACAGTATGAATTGAATTTTATTCTTATAAACACATCTTTACGATAAAATTGCATAATTTTATGTTTAGTTAAATTTAATGATTCAACTTAAAAATCATATTTGTGTATTTTTTATCTTAAACAAATTTTTAAATAAACTGAAAAACATTGTTTTCTGTATTATAAAAACATTATTCTACAAAGATAGTAACATATGTATTCAGACGTTTTACTTAATAATTGAAAAGAATTACCAAAAGAATTGAGAAAATCCGTTATCTTTTTAATGCTACCAGTTATAACTTCAATATATTCACGATTTGCCCAGTCCTGTTGAATTTGCTTCTGGATAGCTTCTCGGTGTATGGCAGCCATTTTTAGAGCAATACAATATTTACAAAAAGTAATGAATGTAAGGTATATATTTGAAAACGTATCACTAATTAAAGTAATTACAAAAGAGAAGTGTATTTTTAATAGTGTCTATCACATGTTTTACATTCAAATTCTTTAGTTACATTTACGTATTAAAAATAGATTATTTAAAATATGAAATCCAATATACATATAAAACATATTCTTCACCGATTGAAGATACTTTGCAACTAACAAGTGATGTATCAATAGGTGGTTTGAAATGATACATGTAAACGTACCCTTTAACTTAAGCATAATATTCTAAATTCATTTAATCCAACAGAGTTATTTAATTGTGTTGACAGAATATTTTTACACAAATTATTTTTATATTCTCTTTATAGCATCTGTTACGTCGCAGACCTCTAAAGGCAAGTACGCAACGAGAAAGGGATCTTACCTCATTTCCAGTTTACAGGCTTTAGCGTCGTGCTTTACTTGCCGAGAGGGGGCATGGAGTGGTGAGGTGGAAGAGGAAAAGCGTTTCGTCACAGGATTGTTTACTAAACTCATCCAGTGGCATATCAATAAGTATCGTAGTTGTATAATGCAAAAATGATATAGTCGATCACTATCCAAGACGTCTAGACTATTGAAACTTGAAGCAGATATAATGTCCGGTTAGTGGACTTAGGCTTTGGACCTAATTGCGTCTACTATCGAAAGTTCTATCGAGTAGGTGTTCCAGGAATGGCTCGACCGTATCTCTTTCCGGCTCCCTCGTCTCAGCAGAATTATTTTATTTCATTGAGAAGAAGAAAAAAAAATTGGAAGTAAAATATTCAGTCTAATAATAATTTTCTAATAAGTATCAATAATAGGAAAAATTATTTTATTTGATTAAAAAAAAAAAAAAAAGTGTGTATAGGATGGACATAGGCTAGCTAGTAGCCCCCTATTCACATCTCAGAACCCTAAGGTGCAAACTAAGCGAAGTGACGTTCAGCCATCAAAGGAAAAACGAGTGGTTGCAACAGCTACGGGTCCTTATATAGTAGCGGTGCTCCCTCCTCAAAGACATTAATAAAGACGTCAGCAAGGTCGGGCGAAGTTTGGCTATTATGCTTGGAGAATTCCATTTTTCTACTATAATACCATATAATTTACTAATTCTTACAATGTTATTATAAATTTATATTTCAACCGATTTATTATAACATTACATATTATAGTTTATACATTTTTGTAATTTTCTTCCACGGAAAAACTACGTTTTAATGTTTTTACTACTTTCTCGTGGAGAAATTAAATTCGCGAGGATTAAAAATTCAGTATGACTTGTGGCCTTCGACTGAAAGTAATCATAACGAAGGTATAATTACTATGTTAAACAGTTTTTTACACAAATTAAAAGTTTATTCAGCTTTTGTTTGTTATAATACCACGAAATAATTTACGTCATACATTTTCTCTACTTACGCTAAATTTAAAGTTCGTAACTATTAAAAATCAGATTGACCAGGTCATCGATTAAAAATAGCCACACTAAAACTAATATTGTGGCCTCAAATTTTTTCTCTTTGTCTTCTACATCATAATTCTTTCCCTTTTGTTCTCTCCTTAAATAACATTTGCATCACTTTGAATAACAAAATTAAAAATTGCAAAAGTAAACGTATTGAACGCAATAGTAAAAGGTTCTGCTTCTTTCTTCCAGTTTCAATTACTTAAAATGTGCTCATAAAAGATATTAATAAGTACAAAATATGTTTAAAAATTTTTAATTATTTAACCATTCCACGTACATTACTCTAATCTTGACAAAGATCCCAAATATAAGTTATTAAACTTTCTTGTAAACAAACACTTTATATCATAACAATCTCGTTGTAACGCACGCACACACACACAATAATACATTTCATCGAACTTTAAGTTTTAAAAATTAATTGAAACTTTTTTCTCCCTCGTTATAAATTACTGTTTCTGGAATGTTTAATACACATCCGATCACTTACATTTGAATACTTCTATTTTGTACAAATAGGTTGCGAATGATATTACATTGGACTTAGACAGATGTTTCCTGTTTTTCATACTTCCGTTGCACTATTAAATTAACCCTTTCGTTTCTAACGGTGACTATAGTCACATGACACTCTGGTTGAGTATAGCATAGCTTTTGGCAGCCGGCAAATAATATAATATAAATAATACTAAACAGGATAAGAAAAGAAGTAAACGCTTTCTAAGTGAATACTTAGAGAGTTCAGTAGAGATATGGCATCTTGGTTTAAATAAAAGTTTTTATTTCACTAAAGCATACTGGCGACTGAAATCCGCTATAACGAAAGCGTTAAATGTAAAAGGAAGTAAGATGTTCTGAGTTTGTTAGGTTACAACTATTCTAATACGTTTCCACTTATCACAATTATTACCTTGATTGCGATAAAATTAATTTTACTGGTTAACGATAAATTTGTACGGAAGTCTTACATTTAACTCTTAATATACATACATATAATTCAGGTGAAATTATTTCAAAAATTGCACGAACTTCCTGAACAATTACCAATTGTGTAGAATTAAATAAGAATTTCCTAGCTTCCTTTTTTTTTTTTAAATATTCAACATGATTGATGTTCAACAACAACAGCTAAAATATTATTATAATTAATGTAAACAGCCTTTTATAAAGAAGTATTGGATCATTGAAATTGTGTGATTGAATCGCTGTAATTGTTTCAATAACAGTTTAATCTCATTATCTCTTCTTATTCAAATATATACACAACATAACCCTTCAATTATCTACGTCTACATAATATATTATATGCATCATTTTTCCTCGTAACAAATAAAATGAGTTTATTTTCTTGAGCAGCGTTCCAGTATTAAGGATTATCTTTCAATTTAATTACTTATTTGTTCATTTTCCGATAATGTATTATTTCTTTCTCTTCTTGTGCCATATTCAACGTAACAAAATGTCACAGTGCCAATAATGATTGATATCGTTAAGATAAGGAGCTGTATGTGGAGATTTAAAATACTACTATAAGCAAAACTTATCGCAGCTGCGACCGATTGGCAAAATTTGAACAAGGCAAAAGCTGGTGCACTCCTTTGTGCAAAAAGTAATCCTAATAATGAATAGACCTGAGTATTAAAGCAAGCATCGCCGAAACCTAAAGTAAGACTTCCGGCCATCGCTAAAACCGGCGAAGGATTGATATAACCTATACTGTCGGTGTCCTCGAACGGTGCTTCCTTCGGTAGGTTTATGAAAATAGTAATAAAGGCGAACAAATGCATGCAAAATCCAGTGATCACCACTGCCCAGACACCACAAATACGAGATACTTTCGAGGCGAAGATACCGAAAAGAGCTCCACCAATCACTTCTCCGATTCCAATAAAAATACCAGAAAGTCCGACAAGACTCTTAGGCGAATTATCAATCGCTTTGGTAAATCCAATACTGGACGAGTAAACTCCAGAATAAAACGTTAACACTAAGCCAGTGTATACGAATGTCAAAGATAATAATAGCATTTCTGGCGTCCTGAAGAGAGCAAATGCATCCGTGAAAGCGCGCCAAGCGGCTAACAGTGGCTTTTCTCTTGCAGGCTCCGGTATTCGAAGTTCTTCGCCCAATACTATTCCTTGCGATGTCTTTCTTAAAGCGGCAAGTAGAAGCGTGCCGAGTAATGCTAATCCAGTAAGCAAACCGAAGACAAGTTGTCTTGTTGACCTGTTTATAGTTGAATCGGTAAACACGTAGTAGACGAAAAGGTTGCCAGCGAACATCGAAGTTTGAAAAATCGCCCAAAATATCCCAGCATTTCTGGGCATTGTTTCAGAGTCACTATTCTCAGTTAAATATTGCCCGTGTCCTGTCCATATTAGAGCAGCTCCAAGACCTACGATACCCGACGCGGCATAGAGTACAGCGTTTTGAAGAATGTGGAAAGATGCTATGAAAATGACGTAGCAGCCAGCGCCGGTAACTATTGCAACCCTTGGCCCTGTCATAGAGATGAAGGATGGTGCTAGCCAGTTGCAAATGGCAAATACAGCATAGATTATCGCTAAGCTAGTGTAGGCCTCACCGGTGAAATCTGGATTTTCCTTCTTAATACTTTGTAGCACGGTTTTCTGCACAAAAAATAATCCGGATATAATAGAACTCATGAAAATATTTTACATCTTTAATGTTCACGTTTTATCCACTAAGTATATATATTATCCACTACTTTGTCCATTTTCAAAATATAAAATTCTAGCGAAATAATTTATAAATTTATATAGACAGAATAAATATATGTCAAATGATACAACTATTCCATTTACAATATTTTAATACATTAGATTTTTTCCCTTCTGAAGTTATGTAAGATATAACATAAACGCAGAATTACAATGTAGATCTTCGTTTTACAAACTAATAACAATAGATAACATTATTACAGTTAGGTATAGTAGCTGCAAAACTTTAGGAAAAATAATAAAACAATACAACAGATCTATAAGTTATCGTTTTACAGGACATGCATATGTATGTATGTACGTATGCACACTGAGAACAAAACACGCTGGCAATACGATACATTGTTTAGTACTTATTTGACTACACGACAGTGAGCAATAGAAATCTGAGAAATGTTCGATACAGAAAAATTTATTATCGAAGGCGAATACCGACCTGCACTATATAATATCAAAGTTAAAGAATTGTGGAATGAAGTTGTAAATCAAAGGCATCCAAGCTGTATAAGATCCATTTTTGTACTGAATTGATTCTTCCTGATTCTTAATCGTCGGTAAATTCTGTTTCAAACACTAAACGTATACTACGTTAAAGAATGACTTAAAAAATTTATTGTTAAATAAATTAATGACACATTTTATTGACCTTACGGACAGTAACAAAAATGGTCACAATATTTAGTACAAATCGTAAAAATTTTTAAAATAGTGTAAATTAGTAAGTTATCAATAGGTAAGTAACGATTAGCAAGATGAATCAATTACATAAATATTTTTGAAACAATAATTAATAGCTTCAAAGTAAAATAAATGACTGTTGAATATTGAAATCCATAAAAACAAAATAAATTGCTATTAATATCTATGGGGTTGGGATCTCCTTATTTATCAACAGGAGCAATAACAACGAAGAAATAACTAATTGTAAGGGCGTTAAAGTCCCAGCTTACCGGCCGGAGATTGTGAATTCGATTACCGCTTGGGTCCTCATTTTTCCTCGAGTCCTGTATGTATATCTAACGCGTTAACCCTAAATTGATAATAAAATTCGCAAAACTCTTTATAAATAACTTTATATAATTTTTACATCATTTTTATTTATTATAAATAGTGCTGAATTTCTTTTTTATGTTTCCAACACACGTGCAATGTCTGCGAATCAAGTGCGATTGTGTATTCAAGGTAGATATCTTGTTTACCGACTAATATTGTACAACCCATGTTTTTCCACATGTTGAACAGATTGAGTCAATACGTTTTAGATTACTGCTGTCCCTTCAATAAACCTATTTTTTTTTATTCTGGCATCAATTAAACTAAGAAATAGTTACGCATAAAGTAATAAACAATAAAAGAAATTAAGACAATGTATTAGATTATTATCATGCGTTCAGTGGGAAGCGCGTAGTGACTACGCCGTAGCCGGTAGAAGAAAAAAATTTGACTATATATAAAAATACAGAATTTATTAAACAATTTGCAGCCCATATAGCAGTAAATACTTTCTGTTGCCAGTTTTTTTGGATACATTACATTACATACAATGTGTGAAGAAATATAACAGTTATAATCCATGTACATACATGTTAATGAATATAACTATTGAGATATATGCAAACATTTACAATTGTAGTGATTAAATGCATTTAGCAGATGTAACAGGTATATACATGGGGCAAAGAAAGTGATCGAACGTGATAACCTACATCGACAACAATCTTATATCGGTTGGTTTATTATCTAACAGCTTTATTCGAACAATACTTGTATATCTTTGGACTTATTTTTATCAGATTTCACATAGATAAAGGTGGCTTGAATTGCAAAATAAAATTTAAAAATTAATTGTCAAATACAGATAAAAGACCAATCTGAAAACCGATTTTTACGTATTCAGGATAAAAAGAACCTGACCTGCTCGAAGCAACAAAAAGCGCATTCGCTCCCGAAACGGATACCTAAGCGGCTCTGTAGAATCTAACTTTCCCCTGAAGTTGGTTACTATGAGAATTGCTATAGTTATCATGAACATGGTAAATAGTCAACAACTTCAAGAAAGAGGACGCAAAGTACAATACATAAAGTTGCGTTGTTTGGCAAATTCCTTGAAATCCTAAACGATTCAAATAACATCAACTATAGTAAATGATAACACGAAGCTTGTGTTAAACGATGAGGAAAGAATCGGTGATTTAATCTCACAACCATCAACTTTATCATCACTATGTTGATGTTCTTGAATCCATACATATATCATTGGATGTTATGGAATTAGATAATTCACACACAGCAGATTACATTGGCCAGAAACTAATGGTAAGGTTTTTTATTTTATTCCTACCATTTCTTGGAATAGCATAATTGTTTTTTAGGCTTCCCCTCAAAACTGGGATTTTGGACTTAATTAAGTGATGGCTGTAGTGACAGGCAACAGTGCAAACATGATTAAAGCTGTCAAACTTATTTGGAAAAAATAAGCATATTTTCTGCTTTGCACATATACTAAATTTAGTAACTAAAGATTCCATCAAAGTAACAACAGGTTTATCTATATATATTAGAAAAGATTCATTCAATCGTCAAGTACACAAAAAGAAGCACAAAAGTTAGACATTAGTTAAGAAGAGAACAAGAACATTTAGGTATTAAAGAAGGTTATAGAAAAACAACTAATCTTGGGTAAAGTGAAGTTGTTAATTGTAGACTAATTCAGGAACTAATTAAAGTAATTTATACATGTTCCCACAAGATGAAATTTGACTTTTTACGTGGATGAAAGATTTTTAAATCTCTTGCCAATTGTAAATAATATATTATTATTTAAGCCAACTTAATGTTAACTTCTATTGAATTATACTATTTGAAGAAAATAATTGATGCTTTGGATTTACTTGAAACTTTAACAAGAGAACTTTTGGATGATCAATATGTTACTATTAGTAAAGTCATACTATTAATTAATTGTCTAGAACAGGATTTAAACAAATTAAACCCTAAATTTACGATTGAAATTAATTTATTACATTTTCTAGTAAGAGAAAGAAAAAAAGATTTGGTAAACAAAAAGAAACTCACTTACTAGATCTGGCAACAATTCTGGATTCTAAATTCAAGAAAATTCATTTTATTGATTCATTAGCACTGTCAAAAACTCTCAATCACCTCAAAAAATAGAGACCGAACATATTACGACTTTGGCCCGAAGTTCTATTGCCACATGGGTTCCAGCAGAAAAACTTTTCAAAAGCTGGTTTGACGATAACACAACGAAGAAACAGTTTGCTGGGGACGTTGTTAAATAAACTGTTATTTTTAAATAGTTTATATTGGAATAGTTAAATAAAAATCTTTATGTTGAATAAAATAAACTTTAACATAAAAATTTAGTTGAAATTCTTTGAAAACTCCCTGGATTTTGAACAAATTAAAAAAAAATATCGATGTCACGAATATCGATGTTTTAATACCGATTGGTCAATAGCAGTTGTATCGTTGTTTTTTTTCCTTTTTTTGCCATCCGTATTTGTAGGGTATTCAGGTTAAATTTAGATAAGACACTTTTATTCAAAAAAATAGTTGTATAGTGCAATGTATTAATTATTCAATTAATAAATTGAATCAGTTTTTCATACTGAGAACATTATAATCACAATATTAATCATTATGTCATCAAACCACACGTCATCATATACTTAAAAAAAACTGATAGAATTTGAGCAATAAATGTCGCTCGATTGCGGCGAATAATGAGAAATTACCGAGACCTGATTGCAAGACTGTATTCGGTGTTGGAGAGGTGACTTGGAAAATGTTTTCAAAATTAATTGAATAATTAATACATTGCATTATATAACTATTTCTTTAATAAAAATGTTTTATTTCAATTTAATTTGAGTATTCTATAGTTGCTCTTTGAAGTGTCACACTCTATTCCTACATCTAGTATTACCAAACATGTGATAAAAAAATACAATAAAAAATATAATGAAGATAACAAATTTCACAAGCTTTTATAGTTAACTATACAGAATAAAAAATAATAAAATTCTAATGGTTAGTGTCATTTATTTATAAATGACTCATTTACATAATAAATTTCTCTATTGTATAATAACAATAAGAGACTATATTAAAAAAATGATGAAACTAATTTAACAATGATTAATTATTAAGTCATCAACCAATATAATTTGATTGCTATAACTATCATTATATTCATTTTCACATTGCAATTATGAACACAGTATACAATTTAACTATATTGCTAAATATATTGTCTTTTTAATAACAAAAATAATGTACATTTGTTTT